CGCTTGGCAATTGAGAAGCGATGAATCCCGGCGAAGACCAAACGCGAAGAGGAGCGGCTGGAAGCCTGTCTCTGACGACGCAATGACTGAGGCTAAGGTTAACCGCAAGTGCTAAGCATCAGCCGAGTTCTAAAATTTAAGGCGCCTCAAGAGTTGAGACGTGAACAGCAGACGATGCAAAAAGAGGAGACTGGTTGACGCGAGGAACAACTGATGGTTCTTGGCTCCCTGCTGGTTAGCGAATTCAATGGCTGGTGAATGTAGAATTGATGGCTGAAATTTGAATGTATTGGCTGCTGCTGTCCACGTGCGGGTGAATTTAGTGGATGCCTGCTTGACTACGCATGGGAAAGGTGTGTCTGTGGCATGGGAAATTGGTCTCTCCACCGTAGCGCAACACTAAGGACCGTACCCTACCGTGACTATTCCCCGGTATTTCCTAGAGCACTACACCAACCGTCAAGAATATTCAAGATAATACTAAACCATTAAAAAGGGAACTTGCTACATGCAGTACAAGCTAAAAAGGAGAATCACAAAGAAACAGATTGAACGACCGTCACTGAAAACAATTATTCGCTACTCTATTTGCAGGTGCCCTCATCCATTGCACGAAGGGCACCTGGATAATCAATTAACGCCAACGTACCCTCCACTTCACTCCATCATACCTCCACACATATCCGCTTCTGCCATTTTCCTCTGTCATTTCCCAGATCTAGCTTCTGACATTGGCATCAGCGCTCACAACAGACGAAGGGTACGTGGCACCGTTGCCATTTTCAAGTAGGCGCAGCAAGGGGCTGTGAACCCGTGGCAGGCAGGGAGGCAGAGCGGGACGGGGAGGCGGGGATGCTCTGGCCGGCAGGGCGGGTCGCGCTTCTTGAGAGCGCGCTGCTTGGCAGGGTCCACCTTGGGCGGCAACAGTGAAGCCACCCATCTGCCGGAACTTGTTCACCGCGCTCACAGATGATTCGCTGCTCGTCCTTCTGCACAAGGTCCTGCTTGGGATAAGGTTAAGGGAAAAGGTTGGGGAAAGAACAAACAGGCAACACAGAACCACAAATGGGAAAGAGGGAAAAGGAGGAGTCAGAGAATGATAGATAATTATTTGTGAGATCAGTTATAATTTTGGATTAAATTAATCGGTTACTTGGGGTCAGAATAATCAGTTAAAACAAAGAGGGGGAACGGGTTGCAAGATGAGGCGAGGACACGATGAAAGATGGGGAAATGATGGTGAAGTGAGGAATGATGGGGGAAGTTAAGCAGGAAACAATGGGGTGTTAAACAACCGGTGAAAGCAGAAGAACAGGTCGTGGGAAAAGAAGGGGGCGATGATGGCAGGAAAGGATGTGAGAAAAGGGTGGGGGGGAAGGAGGCATGGGGCATGGAGATAATGCCACTGGCAAGGGATGCATGATTGAAGACACAATTGCTTTGTCCGTCATCATCAGGTCCCGTGGTCATTATGCATCCAGTGCCATCATCATCTTCATGCCCCATGCCTCTAGATCTACAGGTGATGTGTGTAACAAGTTGACCACCATCACCTTGTCACACACATCACCCCACAAGCCTCCTTTTCTCTCCGCACAAACCTCTCTTTCGCTCCTCACAAGCTCCTATTCTCTCCTCCCAACACCTCTCTCCCCCTTGCCCCACCTTCATGTGCGCCATGATGGAAGCCTTGATGGCCATCGACGTGGCCATGTGGTCGTTGTGTTGTGCACTCCTCCCAGAAGTGCGAATCCCCGTGTTATCATCCTGATGTCACACTTTCTGCCTCACAAGCCTCTCGCCTCACAAACATCTCTCTTTCTCTCCTCCCACCCCCCACCTTCATGTGCGCCATGATGGAGGCCTTGATGGCCATCGACGTGGCCATGTGATCGTTGTGTGCCCCACCAAGGGGTTCCTGAAGCGAGAGGAGGTGGAAAAGGAGAGAAGGAAAAGCTGGGTGAGGAAGAGTAACCGGAGGAGAGGCGGCCAAATGAGAAAGGACAAGGGGGAGGAGGCTCAAAGGGAAAGGGAATATGGAGGGGTCAAGGGCGGGTGGAAGAGGGAGAGAAGGGGGGGAGAGGAGGGGGGGGGCCGGAGGGGGGGGGGGGTCCATGAGCACTACATAGAGCAGGAGAAGCATACTAAAGAAACGAGCAGGGTGGGTACACACCTGGATAATCTCGTCCACGACGCCCAGCTGCTGCAGCTGATCCGCTGTGATGCGCAGCGCCTCCGTGGCCTGGTGGTCCGTGGGATGGCGGGATGGTGGGGAGATGAGACAAGCACCGGCGGCGGAATAAGAACGGTTGACATGTCAAGCAAATGGCAGAGAGAGCAGAGGAAGCAGCAGGGGCAGCGGGAGCAGAGGGAGCGGCAGCCATAGGTTGAAACGACTACCGAAACGTAAGGAGGTCCACAACTTGGTGAAGGGGAATGACTTCATTAGCCGTTTGAGTTGACTCAGAAAGTAACAGTATCCGGTTCCTGGATTGAGTTATTTTCATGCTCTCTGTGCCAGAGATGCATCAGGTTGGGTTGGGTTGGGTTGGGTTCGGTTTAATTCAGTGAGCGACTCACCTTGGGAGCGGCAGCGGCAGTCTTCCAGAGAATGGCCGCACACGCCTCAGGGCTGCACATGGGGTGGTGCAATAAGAGAGAACACGCACATGCACACATAATCACACACACCAATGCACAAACACAAATGCACACAACCACACAGATCCACCTATCCGCATATGCTCAAATCAGACACGCACGCACCGCAGCACACAACAAAGAGCAGGAGTCTCGTCAGTGTCTGCGTGGGGGAGGAGAAGGAGTACACTGCCTGACTACTTCCCATTCTCAATCCCTCTTCATTTGCAGATTCTGAAGGACAAGTACGTACATATTTTGTGGGGCCCTTAGGACATCATAAAGCAACGATTTAAGCGTTGTGTAGGCAGAAACTGCTAAAAACCCCATATTAAATACATTGTAACCACCATTAGCGAATACACCAAAGCAAAACGAGAAATTAAGACATCATACCTGGCAAACGAAGTACACTGCGTTTTCGAGCATGAGCATCTTGTTGCAGCAGCCAATAGCGAGAGCGCCACCAGAGCCGCCCTCTCCAATCACCACACTGACTGACGGCACCTTGAGCCCAAACATCTCCCTCAGGTTGTGCGCAATGGCTTCGCCCTGGCAACAGGAGGGGAGGGGGCGGGAAGCGGGGAGAGGGAACGGAGAATGATGCTTCAGACGGAGGCAGAGTCACCACACTGATTGACGGCACCTCGAGCCCAAACATCTCCCGCAGGTTGTGTGCAATGGCCTCGCCCTGGAGGAGAAGGGAAAGGAAACGGGAATGGAACTTTGAACGGAGGCAAAGGCAGGAAGCAGGTGGGACAGGAAAAAAGGATAGGTGTTTGAGTGGGGAGACGTAGATGGCACGGTGAAAAGGGAGAAAGACAGGGATGGTTGAGAAGCATGGCAGTTCAGGCGCCGTACGTAGAACGACACTTTCACCTGTGCTGTGCCTACTACCTCAAGCAACCTACACGAAGTGTCTAGCATATGCTAATTTTATTTTCTGAAACGCCCTCCCTTCTCCGAGTTCGTTGTGAGACTCCAGCACAGCCACCAGACATGCCAGCAGCACCGCGTGAAGCGCAGCGTTGTATACCACCCTTCAACGCCCAAGATTACCCTTTCACCTGTTCAACTGCGCCATTAACGCCAGATTACCTGTTCACTTTCCCAACTCCCCACAGTTTGGCCTCTCTACCTGTCCGAGCTCCTCAGCCGTGACGCCAGCATACGCGCCGGGCGTGTCGACGAATGTGATGATGGGCAGCCCGTGGTGGTCCGCGTGGCGCATCATGCGCAGCGCCTTGCGGTACCTGATGTGCGGGCGGGGGTGAGGGGGGAGGGAGGGGGGGAGAGAGGGGAACGTGGGGGGAAAGAGGGCTAGCAGTCAACGGCCGAGGATTCAATAGCTTAACGTGGGGGATCCGGCAAAGGTTATTTTAGCAAGCGCAAGAGCCGGAAGGGACGCAAGCGCGCTGTCATGCCGAGTGCAAGCAGCGGGGACATGCAAACGGATGGAGAGAGAGAGAGAGAGAGAGAGAGAGAGAGAGAGGAGAGAGAGAGAGAGAGAGAGAGAGAGAGAGAGAGAGGCACGAATGGATGGGGAGGGAGGGGGTGTGTGTCTCTCTCTCTCTCTCTCTCTCTCTCTCTCACGCACTCACCCGTTGGGCGTGGGCATGCCAAAGTTGCGGTAGATGTTCTCCTTGGTGTTGCGCCCCTTCTGGTGCCCCATGAACATGAAGCTCATCAATTGACCATATGGCGTCAAACCAGCCAGCGCCTCACAGGGGGGGGGGGAGCAGCTCGCAGGGTGCAAACCAGCCGCAGAAGAGCCGCCGCAGCGACGCACTCACCCGTTGGGCGTGGGCATGCCGAAGTTGCGGTAAATGTTCTCCTTGGTGTTGCGCCCCTTCTGGTGCCCCATGAACATGAAGCTCATGCCGTCCAATGCGCCCGATGCCGCACACCAGCGCCGGGTCGTCGTAGCCCCCGCGGTCGCCGTGCAGCTCCACCCACTGCGGGAGTGGGGAAGGGGGATGGGAGGGGGTGGGGGGAAAGACGTGCGGTTATGGGAAAGCGCGGAGGGGAAGATGCACCAGCGCCGGGTCGTCGTAGCCCCCCCGGTCGCCGTGCAGCTTCACCCACTGCGCGGAGAAGGGTAGCGGGGAGGAAGAAAAGGGGGGAGAGGGACACGCGTGCAGGGATAAGGGGGAAGGGGAAACGACGGGGGAGAGGGGAGAAACGAAGGGGAGATGCAGGAGAGCCGGGTCGTCGTAGCCGCCGCGGTCGCCGTGCAGCTCCACCCACAGCGGGAGAGGATAGCGCGGTCGGACGGGAGGGGACATGCGCGGAGAGGAGGCCAGACGGGAAAGCGCGCGGAGAGGAAGGAAACCGGAAGGTAAAGTGCGCAGAGAGGAAGGAAACCGGAAGGAAAAGTGCGAGGAGAGCAAGGAAACTGGAAGGGAAAGTGCGAGGAGAGGAAGGAAGCGGAAGGTAGATGTAAGAACTGCCGGGCCGTCGCAGCCCAGGGGCCGCCGTCCAGCTCCGCTCACTGGGGCCGGCGCTAGCGCACCCGAAAGGGGGGGGAGCGAGCGAAAGCGGGGGCAATTGATACGCAAGAGGAAACGAACAAGCGAAAGAGCGAGCAACCGAACGAAAAGGGGGGAAGGAGGGGGGGGGGGGGTATACATAGGACACCAGTAAGAGGGGAAGCACGATAAATGTCTGAGCATAAGCATGGACATCAGGGAAGGGGGACGCGAAAACGAAACGAGCGATGGAAGAAATAGCTTTTGGCAAAGCATCGGTGTGTAGAAAGAGATGCAGTTGGAATTCCATGTGCATCAAGAACAGAGACATCCGGACGCTTAGCGAGGAAGCTGTGAGCGAGGATAAGCTCACCTTGTCAGTCATGTTGAGGACATGGTCCAAGAAAGTGGGACGGTTGGGGTGACGCGCCACGCTGAGCCGCTGAAACCGGAGTTATTCTCGCGTAGATGTCGCGCTTCAGCTGAAGGAGCGAAGAACGCGCGGGCGGGAGAGGGATAGAGGGAGAGACAACAGCCGAGAATGGGGAGAAGGGGAAGGTGAAGGGTGAGGACCCGGGTCCAGAGTGTGGTGCGAATATTTAGTTGGCGGAAAGCGATAAGATGAAGGTAGGAATAGGAAACGGAACAAAGAAACCAAAACAAAAAAGGTACAGGAATCCGCCTAAGTCAGCAAAAAGGTAGCGCGACTACTTGAAAAACCAACAGCGCTGTTCAAATACCAGACATGGACCCGTAAGAGTTGATTAATTGGCCTCAACTGTCTCACCTGCTCGTACTTGTCCCTGCAGCTCCTGCACCTGGTCCGTGAAAGTCCATGCCAGTCTTATCCGCCAGCTGGCGAACCTGGCGAGGCACACATTAACATTCACAGGCAGTCACAAACGCAGGTACAGCCGAAGTCACCGGAGAACGATGGGAGTAGTGGTGAGAGGAAGAATCAAAAGCCATGAGATGACGCATGGAGCCGCGACTTCCAATACAACGGAGAATTCAGCATGCGATTTCGTCAGCTACTATTTGGTGCAGCTCAATCAAGAAGGTAGAAGTCAGTCAATGCGGAAACCCGACAAACGCTCGAGGTTTTGCGATGCACGACTGTTCAAGTTTCAGCGCCAGAAATTTTTTGTCTAAATTCGCGTCTTTATCTAATTAATATCTATTTACCTCCTCAATTTTCTTCTCGAGGTCGACCAGCGGTT